TCTACTTCTTACATGTTGAACTCAAATACTTGTACTTTCTACTTCTTACATGTTGAACCCAAATACCTGTACTTTCTACTTCCACATGTTGAACTCAAATACCTGTACTTTCTACTCTTACATGTTGAACTCAAATACCTGAACTTTCTACTTCTTACATGTTGAACTCAAATACCTGTACTTTCTACTTCTTACATGTTGAACTCAAATACTTGTACTTTCTACTTCTTACATGTTGAACCCAAATACCTGTACTTTCTACTTCTCACATGTTGAACTCAAATACCTGTACTTTCTACTTCTTACATGTTGAACTCAAATACTTGTACTTTCTACTTCTTACATGTTGAACTCAATACCTGTACTTTCTACTTCTTACATGTTGAACTCAAATACTTGTACTTTCTACTTCTTACATGTTGAACTCAAATACCTGTACTTTCTACTTCTTACATGTTGAACTCAAATACTTGAACTTTCTACTTCTTACATGTTGAACCCAAATACCTGTACTTTCTACTTCTCACATGTTGAACACAAATACCTGTACTTTCTACTTCTCACATGTTGAACACAAATACCTGTACTTTCTACTTCTTACATGTTGAACCCAAATACCTGTACTTTCTACTTCTTACATGTTGAACTCAAATACTTGTACTTTCTACTTCTTACATGTTGAACCCAAATACCTGTACTTTCTACTTCTTACATGTTGAACCCAAATACCTGTACTTTCTACTTCTCACATGTTGAACACAAATATCTGTACTTTCTACTTCTTACATGTTGAACCCAAATACATGTACTTTCTACTTCTTACATGTTGAACCCAAATACCTGTACTTTCTACTTCTTACATGTTGAACCCAAATACCTGTACTTTCTACTTCTTACATGTTGAACCCAAATACCTGTACTTTCTACTTCTCACATGTTGAACACAAATATCTGTACTTTCTACTTCTTACATGTTGAACCCAAATACATGTACTTTCTACTTCTTACATGTTGAACCCAAATACCTGTACTTTCTACTTCTCACATGTTGAACCCAAATACCTGTACTTTCTACTTCTTACATGTTGAACCCAAATACCTGTACTTTCTACTTCTCACATGTTGAACACAAATATCTGTACTTTCTACTTCTTACATGTTGAACCCAAATACATGTACTTTCTACTTCTTACATGTTGAACCCCAAATACCTGTACTTTCTACTTCTTACATGTTGAACCCAAATACCTGTACTTTCTACTTCTTACATGTTGAACCCAAATACCTGTACTTTCTACTTCTTACATGTTGAACCCAAATACCTGTACTTTCTACTTCTTACATGTTGAACACAAATACCTGTACTTTCTACTTCTTACATGTTGAACCCAAATACCTGTACTTTCTACTTCTTACATGTTGAACTCAAATACCTGTACTTTCTACTTCTTACATGTTGAACACAAATACCTGTACTTTCTACTTCTTACATGTTGAACACAAATACCTGTACTTTCTACTTCTCACATGTTGAACTCAAATACCTGTACTTTCTACTTCTTACATGTTGAACTCAAATACTTGTACTTTCTACTTCTCACATGTTGAACTCAAATACCTGTACTTTCTACTTCTCACATGTTGAACCCAAATACCTGTACTTTCTACTTCTTACATGTTGAACCCAAATACCTGTACTTTCTACTTCTTACATGTTGAACTCAAATACTTGTACTTTCTACTTCTCTCATTCTTCAAACAGCTGGTTCCTTTAGTCTGAATGTGTGTTTGATGCGTGATCATTATTCTTTAGAGTCATTGCGTGCCTATTGATTTGAACACGATCCGTGTATCCATCATTTCCTGGTCTTCTCTAAAGAAGAGGGACCAATGGAAACGTTGTCATGTTGCCGTTGTTCAGCATGGGTGATAATGTGGAGGAAGCTACCTTACATTTTTATGCGGATGATACTGTGATGTATTGTGCAGGTACCTCAGTTAAGGAGGCTGTTGTTAAATTACAGACTGTTTTTAACACTGTTCAGACTCAGCTCTCAGAACTTAAGCTTCTTTTAAATGTGGATAAAACCAAGTTAATGCTCTTTTCAAAAGCTAAAAAGTCACCAGAGCCTGTTTTAGATATTGTAACCATGCAAGGAAAAAAACTTGAAGTGGTTACCTGTTACAAATACTTGGGTATCTGGCTTGATGACTGTCTTTCTTTTAAACTGCATGTAAATAACCTGCTTAAAAAACTGAGGGTTAGGCTAGGTTTTTTTTATAGAAACAAGTCCTGTTTCTCTCTTGAGGCCAGGAAAAGGCTAGTCACTGTGACCTTTTTACCTGTGCTGGACTATGGTGATCTATTTTATATGAATGCGCCGGCCAATTACCTCACCAAGATAGATGCCGCCTATCATAGTGCACTAAGGTTTGTGACAGACTGTAAGACTTTGACTCATCATTGTACCCTGTATACAAGGGCAGGGTTGCTTTCACTTACTGTACGGCGGCTAAATCACTGGTATCTTTTTATTTATAAAGCAATGTTAGGGAAACTTCCGTCTTACATCTGTCCCTGATCTCACAGCGTATTGTAAATGGCTACTGCCTGAGATCTAAAGCTGTGGTTGTATTACATGTGCCAACTGCTAGGACTGTATTAGGAAATACAGCTTTTAGATGCGCAGCGCCGCTAGCATGGAACAGTCTACAAAAGGAATGGAAGCTAAGCAGTTTGATTCCATTTCATGTTTTTAAAGCTAGGATAGACGCTATACAATCAGAAAATATTGGTGTCTGTAAATGCTACTAGTATACAAACTGTAGTATCATATAATGTCCTTTGTTTTCTGTCATGTTTGTATTAATGTTTGGAACTAATTGAAGCAGGTCACCATTGTAAAAGAGGTCTATGATCTCAATGGGTTTTATCTGTATAAATAAAGGTTTTGAATTGAATTGAATTGAAACATTCATTAGCTAACAATGACATTATTGTTCTATTGATATAAAGGGAGGTCAGGTACTCTTTAAAGCAGCTGGTAGCTATGGGTACTTGATCTCAATGAGATCCTGTTTAAATAAAGGTACAAAAAAAGATAAAAAGCACAATAACTAGAAACATTTAAAAACATATGGAAATATCAAAATGTAATGTTCAACTAGTATTAAAAGCCAGTGCAAAGAGGTGAGTTTTAGCACAGATTAAAAAAGTTCAATAGCCTGAGCAGTTGGGATTTGTCCCTCTCATGTATATTTTGAAAGAGTGATCACCTGTGATGGCGTGCTGAGAGAACGCCTCCACGTAGGTCAGGTAGTTGTGTGGACAGTGCTTCTTCAGCCATTTACACACATCCTGCTGCGACCACATCACCACGGGCCGGATCAGGCTGGGCTGCGTCGGGCTCGTGTGATAAATCCCATAGTTATCACTGGAGCGGTACTGCAGACAGAAAAACAAAGAACTATGAGAAGACAGGGCTGCGCAGAATGTCTCTTTTCTAACATTCAAAGCTTCTCCAATGAAGCTTTGAACGTCATGTTTTATGAGGCTATTTCACTAAATAAATATATATTTACTGCAATTGTTGTTTAATAAATGTAGTATATTCTGTTAGACTGCTGCTAGGAATATAAGGTGAAGCATTTGGTTAGATAAAATCATCAAAAAGATTATTACTAACATTAATAACTAAAAAAAAATCTATCTTTTTATAGTGAATGTTGAATTTTAAACTTAACAATGCTCTCACGATTGGATCAAACGAGTCTCAAACTGATTATTTGGAAAGTATATCAAGTTATTTGGACGTTAAAGATGGAGCTAGAGCCGCCACCTGCTCCATAGCTTCTCTCTGGACAACCTGTACATTTTACATTTATTTTTAATTTAATATTCCATTGCCTGCTCTCTTAATGTTAATAAAATCCGGTCTATTGTTTATTTTCTTTTTAATACTGCCTTAATTCTATTTTGTGAAGTTTAAATTATAGTATTGTTTATTTGTTCTACTTATTTGCAATGCCTTGTTTTGTTTTGTTGTTTTTTATGCAACATTTCTCAATTTGGGATCGATAAAGTACCTCTTATCTTATTTAGCTTACCTTAGCATACAGACTGGAGTGTGTGCGTGTGCGTGTGTGTGCGTGTGCGTGTGCGTGTGCGTGTGTGTGTGTGGGGGGGGGGTGGACTGGGACTAACATTTAGCCCTGTACTCTGGACCGTCCCACTTCGGTACCGCTAGTAAATTGTCAACGGGGGGGGGGGTGGGTGATAGTGACTTATCCGACCGGCCCATATCGTCCAACGGGCCCACTTCAGTACCGGCCCATCGGGATTCGCATTCATCCCGATGGCCAGTCCATCGTGTGTGTGTCTCTCTATGTGCATCTGTGTGTTTCTGTGTGTGTGTGTGTGCGTGTGTGTGTGCGCGTGTGTGCGTGCGTGTGTGCGTGTGTGTGTGTGTGCGCGTGTGTGTGTGTGTGTGTGTGTGTGTGTGTGTGTGTGTGTGTGTGTGTGTGTGTGTGTGTGTGTGTGTCTATATATATATAAAACCTCCTACACTTCTGAAGCTCACATTAAAAAGTCAAATTGTGCTTTTACAGGTCCTGCACAGCTTCACATCCTGAGCGTCTTTTGAGAATACAGATCTGGATCTCAGGATCTCTCTTTATCCTTAGAAGACGCTCAGGATGAGAAGCTGTGGAGGACCAATCAAAGTGAGCCTTTGATCAGTCAATCAGCGTTTAAACATTCAGCAGCCTCAGCGCTTCCCTCACTGGAGGTTTGCTCAGAAGCTGGAGAGTGCTAAGAAAAAAACTAAGAGGAAACTAAAAGCTGGCTTTCATGGTGGAGTGGAGGTCGGCCTCGTGTCACACTGAGGACTGTCAAGATATTCTACCGCTTTTAGAGTTTATTTGAGCCAAGAAATGCTCTTTAATAACAATTCCCATTATGTTTGTAAGTATTTACCTTCATCTGCTCATGTTTCAGTGTTGTACGGCAACATCTAATCATTACTTTAGTTATCAAGTCATTTTTTAGACTAATTAACTAACTAATAGTGTGGTCAATAACAAGTCAGAAAATAGTGGAAAATATCACAGTTTTAATGTGTTTTTGTCAGTTTAAAACACAAAGATATTCACTTGCATTTTATATAAAAACAGAGCACACAAAACAGCATTTTCTGACATTTAAAACTAATTACATTTTAGTACGATATACATTTTGTCTATTGACTAATCAGCGCTCTTCTACATTATTGTGCAAATCGTTTTAAGATGTTTAAGGGTACATTTCTGAGCATTCACTAGATCTGAAGAACAAACCATAGCCATTAAAATAACCTTTGATAACATTTCCTCGACAGTAAATATATCTTTATTTGCTTCAAAATGTCCTATTTGGATTTTCTTTTCAGTAAAACAATAAATACCTCCTATAAGTTTTTTAAAAGTGTCTACTGTGATGCAACACACCAACCAATGAAGGAAATGAGTAGAGTTATAAACGGATTACACAGGACGAAGTAGTTTTAGTTCACTGAAAACTGAACTAGTCTCAAATTGTTGATTTGATTTCTTAGTGTGTGTGTCTGCTTGTTTGGTGAGCACACAATGAGCTTCATTAGGTTCACCATCAACATTTCAATCAAATAGACTCTCCCCAAATTCATATATTCAATAAAACTCTGTCTCAGCAGTGAAGAGATAAGTTCCTCCAGGTCACTTCTATTATGCTAATTTCAAATCTCTGTTTGGAGAGCCTGGCTGCAGCTCGGCCTAAACAGAGAGATGATTACGCACTTCAGATTAGCACAAAGTAAACGGTCGTGCTGTTCGAGGGTAACTCTTTTTTCCCCCTCATGTAGAACTTGTTTCAAACTAAAAGCAGTAAATAATCAAGCAATGGTTGCGGGGTGGGATTCTTTTTAAAGGTGTTAGAAAGTAAAGTATTGAAGAAAAAGGCTTTAATACTATGTTAGGTGTTCGTATTGAACTGGTTTTGGTCTGAGGATGTATGATATTGAGGGATATGTATTTGTTGTGAGTGGAATCCAAGTTGCTTTATAGATAATTCAAAGTCTTAAAGAGGCAACAATCTTCAAAACGTGATGAACATAATTTCACATCTCGATCATATGCTAAATCCTATTGGAGTACATATATCTGGGAAGCCAATACATCGATAGTCTATGTGCAATAACTGCTTTGTTATACTCCTGGTTGAGGATGTATTTGACATTTAAAAGGGTGCAAGGGCATCAGGTTTTCTGCTAAAGTCAGAGTTACTACGAGCTCTATTGTGAATATGTAATTAAAGCAAGGCCCCGTCCACACGGAGACGGAACTGGTTGTATCCGCTAAAGTTCTTTATCGTATAGAGCAGTGGTTCCCAAACTTTTTGTGCCCAAGGCACACCAAAGGACAAGTAAAAATCTCAAGGCACACCTATTGTGCAAAATAGCCCTTATAACACCTGTTATCACTCATATCATGTAAAATATCTGTAAACGTGCATAATTATTTACTAATGCCAAATAAAATGTGACAAAGACAACTATATTACTCATGAAATATTTATTAACGAAATATTTCAGAAATTAATTTGAAACTTTATCAAATTAAATTAGGCTTCATCAAAGCAGCAACACACTCATTTAAACCAGACAGGTCACAACATTAAAAATGAGGCAAAGGAAACTCAGCAGAAATTCAGCACAGAGAACTGTCAATGCAAGGAAGCTGCATTGTCCATGGTCCTGAACTACAAATTATAAATGTAACATTTCAGCAATCAGCATTGAAACATGTGCTATTGTAAATATATTGCCGACTTACAAATTAGTGAGATACATGTGAACGTACGAACTGCGCATGCGTGAGTGGCAATAACTTTCCTTACCAGCAGGCGGCGGTAGTGTGTATTTGTCATTCAAAACAGGCAACAACCGGAAGACAGAGAAGAAGAACAGACTACGTGATATAAACAAACAACAAATAGCGTATGCGTTAGCTTCACCTTAGCATGTGTTCTTTGCAGGTGCTTGTTGAGGTTTGACCACGTGGTGTTTCCAGCAGTAGATAACAGCTTCTGGCCTGGACACAGTTTGCACCTCACCGTTACATTCCTGTCTATTCTTCGGACAAACTCAAAGTAATGGGCATACCTCCACCCCTCGAGAGTTATCGCTGACTCAGCCATGTTTATGCAGCACTGCACGTGGAGATGTGGACGCGCAAGTCGCGCAGATTACGTACATATAAACCTACAAAGTACTGATATAGTACATTAAAAAATAATTATTTTTGTGTAGTTGTATATTGCAATAATAACAACGTATGGTTGTCACAAAATCCCACGGCACACCCGGACTTGCCTCACGGCACACCAGTGTGCCGCGGCACACCGTTTGGGAACCACTGGTATAGACGGTTCGTCCACACGAGGCCGAAGCGGAGCCGCGGCTTCGGAGCCCGAAAACAATACACTTTGATAACGGCTCCCAAAGTGGGTAGGTATGGGGACGAAACGCTTGCGGCTCCGTGTGCACGCCCTTTACGATCATAGCCTCTCCCCACCTCTCCTGCTCACCCCCGCGTCATTGCTGCTGCGTTTCTCCAACAACAACAACGGCGGATCACAGGGTTGCGTTCCTGCTCCAGATGCTACTGACCATGATACAGATGTTAGAGCAACATCTACAGCTCCTCGACCGCAACCATCAGCAGCAAGTGGACATGGAGAATTACATGAACTACATGTTGCTTAATCCACTGCGGAGAATAAACAGAAGGGCAACCATGGCAACCATGCTCAGGGGGTCTTATTCGCTGCTTTTGGTGTATTTTGTGGCGGAAGTACAGCGCCACTTAGAGGCCCGGCATATGTACTACAGCGTCTCCAGCGGGTCGAGCGGTCTCGTGTGGACGGACACGTTTCTTGAGCCGATACCATGTGGACGGAAGACTGTTTTGATATCGACTTTGGTTCGCTTTCGTCTCCGTGTGGGGCCTTAAGTGGGCTCACAATAAAACAGCGAAAGGAAAGTATAGAGAGAGCAAAGTATCGTAGGACTAGGACAATGTGCAGGTGACAGAATAAACTTAAATCAAAGCCTTGAAAGGAAGATAATTTTGAAGAGGGATGTCAGAAACTCTTTGTATCGTTTTATATTTTCATACATGTGGCAGAGGAGCTGCTTCTGTCACAACACCCGGAGATAATGGGGATCAAAACACACAAACAAACAATCAAAGACACAATCAGAGCACAGAGCTTCCTGATTCCTGACTGACTCTGTTCTACCGTTAACTTGAAGGTATTTTGCTTTTATCTGAATACTTCCTGCTCTGCACTTTCCTCTGTTGACACGTATGTGCTGCCTAATTCCTGCCATGTATGCGTCAGTGTGTGAATATTAAACTTCTAGATTGGGTGTTTGTATGCATGCATGTATTTAATTACCACACAAAGCAGCGGCACGTCTCATACTGTTTTCAGACAGCAGTATTATCGCCCCTCGAGCTGCAAGTCAAGATGTTCCATATTAACCAAAAGGGATTCATTGTTTGACCACTAAATGTGAAAAATGTCAAATTCACAATATCCTAAAGCCAAAGGTAATTAGCGAAGAGCTTCTTCTGTACGACCGATAGTTTATTGTATAAAATAAGAGGAATAAAACGTGCAGATCCTTTTTATTTAGACGCTGGCAGTGAAGAGTGTTTGGTGTTGCGGCTGGAAACCGGACAAATGATCATTATTTTCCTGCAACAATGACTGAATGTTCTGCTGAGGGAGAATATAATGAGTGTCTGCTGTTTCTGATCTCACACCAACATGCACAGCTGGAGTATAAACATAAAACCTGGAGGTTCATCGTCTGACTTCATACAGTCCCTGTTGTTATACATCGATGGCTCCAACACGTTGTGATGGGACGTCTTTCAGTGGTCAAATCTAATCAAGGTGTGATTATTTAACGAGGACCTTTACCTTCATCTTTACCAAATATTGCACAAGTCCATATTGTGATTTCAATAAAACGCTGATAGCTTGTGCAGCGCGACATGCTGGGACTGTTTTTAGAAGAAAAGTAGTAAAACTGGCTTTAATAACATTTTAAATTGAATGTATTTAACTGAATTAGGAAATAGTTTGCCTCCTAAAATATATGATAAAGATGTATTTGTTGTTATTGAAACATGCAGAGAAGAGTAACACACAAACACACACACACACACACACACACACACACACACACACACACACACACACACACACACACACCACACACACACACACACACACACACACACACACACACACACACACACACACACACACACACACACACACACACCACACACACACACACACACACACACACACACACACACACACACCACACACACACACACACCACACACACACACACACACACACACACACACACACCACACACACACACACCACACACACACACACACACACACACACACACACACACACACACACACACACACACACACACACACACACCACGTTCTGTGCAGCGGAGAGGATTGAGGCAAACAAACAGCGCATTGTGTTCCTTGTTATCATCGCAGCCCAGCTCTGTCTGCAGCTCATTACTGCTTTAAAGAGCCTTTCACTGGGGGGGGGGGGGGGGCAGGGGGGGCAGGCCCAAGACAGTTTACAGAAAAGTGGATGCTCTTATCAGACGAAGAAGGCTGCTATCAAATCAACTCTGATTCTCATATAAATGTTTAGCATACAGTTGTTACCGTATACAGAGTGTGTATCAGAGTGTGTATCAGAGTGTGTATCAGAGTGTGTATCAGAGTGTGTATCAGAGTGTGTATCAGAGTGTGTATCAGAGTGTGTGTCAGAGTGTGTGTCAGAGTGTGTATCAGAGTGTGTATCAGAGTGTGTATCAGAGTGTGTATCAGAGTGTGTACCATTAAAGTGGATTATGGTCCTGCTCCGTGTTGCAGGGCCGCTCTATTTAAAGCTAAAAGCCTGTTAGAGCCCCCACCCCCCCCCCCCCCCCCCCCCCCCCCCGCAGGGCAGAGCGACTTCCTTTCTCTGCTAACAAAGCGTTCATCTGTAACAATGTGGGGAGCCCGGACCCATTGACTTCACTATGAGATTCTGCTTTCAGACATTTCTGTACGGAAATGTGAGCGAGAGGTCAGTGAACACCAGCGAGAGATGGTAAGCAGTAGATTTGTTGTGTGTCTACAAGACGAAGGGATGCAGCGGGACGGATCATGAAAAGGAAGGTTGGAAACACATGTTTGGGCTATAATGATCTCTTTTCTGCAACCACTATGGATCACAATCATTATTTTCAATTCAATATAAGAACTGTTTTGCTTGAATTTGAGTCCAAATCGAACTATTTCGATAATCAGATTGGGGAACTTTTAAAGAACATTCCAGCTTCTTAACGTGAATATGTTCTGGTTTCTTCATTCCTTTAATATCTCTGATTTGTTGACATAACAACAACCAGATAATCGACATGTTTCGCCATTTGTTTTTTCATTTTACAGACCAAATGATGAATGGATTCATATAAAGTAGTCCTTGATGAAAATAATCGTTAGCTGCCGACGTAATGGCCATTAGCTTTTGTTGAGTTCTATCACGCCTGATGTAGCAGGAACAAAGATGGAGAATTAACCCATGAGAGCAGGAAGCAGGTCGATGCGCTCAGTGCTAGAGCTGCAAACATCAATCCATATGTTTTCAACTATTAAATTAAACGCCGAACTTTTCAAACAACAAAAAAAGCTCATCCTGTGATTCTTAAACGTTTCAATCTTCTGGTTTCTTTACTCCTCTCCCCTCTGATTCAATATCTTGAAGGTGCGGACAAAACACGACGTTTAAGATCTGAATGTGTTGAGATGAATCGACGATGGAAATAATAGTTTTGCGGACCAGATGGCCTTCACCTTTTGTTGAGTAGCATCAAGTTTAATTTAGCAGGAATAGTATTTTTGTAGGCCGACCCTGAAGGAAGCTGCTGGTTCCCTCGACAGAAAGCAACGGGATTTCTCCAGAGGATTTTGGAATATTGTAAAAAATAAGGTCTGTGGAAAATGAACCTGTTTGATAAATGCACGTTCTGTTCAGCCGGATAATCTCCACATGTCTACCCTACTTTCATAATGTTCTAATCATAAATCTAATGTCCAGAAGCTAAATGCTAACGTTATGCTACAAAGGAACTACAGGCGAGTCCAGCAGCACGACTTCAACGTCACGCCAACTTCAGATCCATATTCAAACACACAGATTCTAGATGGAACGAGTTGAAGCGTTTGTTTGAACAGTTTGCAGGAGGCAGGGACTTGCTTTCAAGCAGAACAGAAACTAACTTAGAGGAGAGTTTACGTGTTCGGCGTAATGACGTACAACGTCCTCCACGACTTCTGTAGTCCTATTCAGCCACTTGGTAACAACCATCGTTTTTCAGACACGTCAACTCTTCAGAAATCACAGTGGGGTCACTGCTGATGGATTTAATGTCGTAGAACAAAACGTGATCCGTCTCTTCAATGTGTCTCAACCACAGACCTTAGTTCCAGATATTTTCCAAAAGCTAGTTCAAACATCTCATTGGCTCTGAGACGAGGGAACAGGAAGTGGTGAAATGCTGACTCACTTCCGGGTTTTAGGACTCATTCCTGCACCCCTTTATCTCCTGAGCGTGGAGAGTGAACAGCAGTAGGTGTCTCCTGCTCTCAGTACCTGCAGGGCCCCGGTGCCCGGCTGCTGCAGAAGCTTCACCGCTCGACCTCCTGCTGACTTCTGCCCGCGGCCATCGTGCCAGGTTAGATTCCCGCCTGTGCGTCGACTCAGCTGGTGCTTGAAGTCCTCGGGCAGAGCTCTGTACTCCACAGCCGGCCTGACGAAACTGAAACTGGCCGCCGCTGGAGAGATGAAAGCAAGAGGCATAATGATTAGACAGCTGGGTATACATGTTACTTCCTGCTCTGCATTTTCCTTTCACTTTACTTGTGTTGTGAGCACACTTCACTCTCTGCTCTGTTGACACGTATGTGCTGCCTTATTCCTGCCATTTATGGGTCAGTGTGTAGATGTTAAACTTCTGAATTGGGTCTTTGTATGCATGCATTTAATTAGTTTTGTCGCCGCCAAAAATGCCATTTCTCCTCGAGCTGCAAGTCATGATTTTCCATATTAACCAAACTGCCTATTTGGTTGACAAAGGGATTCATAGTTTGAACACTAAATATGAAACATGTCAAGATCACAATATCCTAAAGCCAAAGGCAGCTTATTCTGTACAACCAATATTTTTATTTTATCAAATTAGAGGAATACAAATTGCAGACGCCGGCAGTGAAGAGTGTTTGGTATTCTGGCTGGAAAACTGACAAATTATAATTATCTTCCTGCAACAATACATGCTACAACAATGAGCATGAGACACAGTCGCTCAGCTACGTGAGTTGAAAAGCAAAAAGCCTGTTATTCAGGGGTGATGTCACTGTGGAACCTGCTCGTACCTGTTTCACTGAGCAGCTGTGAGGTAAGCTTCACAGACACCTGAGCCTGGAGCACCTGGGTCTTTCAGGAAGTCAGTGTCTGTTTGTGCAGAGTCTGTGTGTGAAATGTCAGGTCCTGTGAGAGGAGAAACGTTCTCTTCATAACGAGGAGGCATGCAGGCAGACATCTAAACTCCTACACAACGGGGGGGGGGTCCAACAGCCAGTAATTAAAGAAAGTGTGGATCTACAGTAAACAAACTGTTACTGGCAGAAAGCCAGGTCATTACTGATTCATGCGCCAGATTGGGAGAATGTTCTCACCGTGTTTGAAGCCATGTGTGCAGCTGTGTTTGTGTGTTAGCGAGGCTCGCTAGATATCTTGAACTGAGAAGAGGAGGATTTGAAAAGAGGACAACACGAGAGCAGGGTTGCAGGAGATGAAAGAGTGTCTTTTAGTTTTCTGTCACTCCACATCTGAGCATGTCGACCCGCTGAGAGCCGAGCTGAGTCCTGCAATCATCGAGGCAAGCCAGTGGCATTATGACTCTGATTGCCATCTTTGGTTTCTTTGAGCTGAAACTCCAAGGCTCTGTGTGTATACGCTCCTCCAGAGCCATCCCCCCCAGGATGCAGCTGTGTCCACAAACGTGCCCTTTTCCCGGATTAAACACATTTAATTAACACCACTTGTCAGGCCCAGCTTTCTCCTTCCATGGGAGGAAAGTAGTCCTCATTAGCTTGCACGCATATAAATTGCAAGCACCGAAAATAAAACTCTTCCATGCACAAAGATGTTGTGAATAATCTCCCGCAGGCAACATGTTTCACTTGGTATTTTGGTTGAATCTGCTCTGTGGATCACTTCACATTTCACTCAGGCTTTTACCCAAAGTGACCTAACATAAGTGCAATCAACCATGAGGGTCCACATTTAGAATCCTGCAAGTGCATTAGCTTCAAATAAGCCGTCAATTTTAAGTGCATTCAACAGGGGGCAAAGCAGATCCTGCACGAGCTTTCCTTTTTACTAAGAGTAAAGCATTCCTGATCAAATAAAACATGCATATCTATATAATTCGACACATGTAGAAACTGAAATGCTAAACTGACCACAGTGGGCATTAGACTGGGTCGCTGTCCTTTCAGCACCAAGTCACTGACCACCAGCAGACCCCCCTTTATCTACATCTGCACACTGTCTCTATACAGCTGCGTTTAAGCAGATGTATCATAGTTCCTATTCCCTAAAGTAGTTTTATTGTCATGTTTAAACCTCACACTGTGCCCTCTCTCCTGTCACAGCAGGCTTTTTATCAACAGACCACTAACCCACTTGGCAAACCGGTCTCACGAGGATTGAGTTAAACCAACAAGATCGACGTTGAACTTTCTCCCTTTTTTTTAAAGGAGAATTTAGACTCATTGATTCTAATTGAATAAACAGAGAGTGGCTTACCGTCCACAGCCATGATGGTGTTTCCGTGTCGGGTTCAGTGAGAGTCTCCCATGTCTCCGCTGACTCCCGGGCCGCGGCTCCTGCTGCCCGCCTCTCCGCGCTCTATTTACCGGGAAAAGTTTGAGAGGCTCGGCAGGAGGAGTGACGCTACCCGGACAGCCGGTAAAATGCGATAAAAAGCAGCTCCGGTGTGTTTCTCGTAGTTTCTGTTTGACAGGAATGTTCCCGAGCAGCTGAACGACTGGTTCAGCTGGCTCCCGGCGTGCACGCGCGCTCGTTCACGTGTGTGTTTTTATATGTGTGTCGTGAGAATGGGACGTGCGGCTTCTTCTCAGAGCAGCCCGGGCTCAGAGTGCTGCTCCGGGCCTGTAATTACAGCGGAGCGAAAGAAAAGGCTTCTCATCACTGCACCGTCAAGAAAGAGGGCTCTGTGTGTGTGTGTGTGTGTGTGTGTGTGTGTGTGTGTGTGTGTGTGTGTGTGTGTGTGTGTGTGTGTGTGTGTGTGTGTGTGTGTGTGTGTGTGTGTGTGTGTGTCTTCTCCCAGCTGCACACTTTTATTTACAGACTTATTTTATCACCTTTCACTTTTAATGAACATGTGTTGCCTGTTTACTGCCTCTTGAACCACATGTAGTTGAACAGTTACCACATTTCATTATTTTAAGTAGCTTACTGGTAGATCAGCTATTTATATTGAGTCGAGCAGTAAGATTACTTTTTTTGCAGCAGTTTGTGTTCATACTGAAACTACAAAACTATTTGGGTCTTAACATTTCTTTTACCGTGCTTCTCTTCTGTGATTGAACCACTGTGATTCTGATGATAAGAAGACATGACCATCACCAGCTGCACACCAAACTCCAGGCTGTTTTCGTTCAGAGACCCCTAGTGGAAGAAAACGACATATTGTGTGTCTAAAGGAGAAATATTAATCCAGCCTGAATTTCCACTAACAGAAATGCATATTGGACATAAGTTTAATTATGATTCATCATTTCTAAATCCAAGCGCTATCAGCAATCAGAGTCTAAGTGGGGAAGCACGAGTAAGACATGTATAACAAGACTGCTGTGGATCTAACTCTATAGCTTCAGGTTGTCTGGACTAAAAACATGTCATGGTAAAACGTGAATGCATTGTAACCTCGTGTTATCAAACTGGAACGAGTGGAGGAGAAACTAAAGAGGCTGAAACATGAGGTCCTCCTGAGACGGATTCTGACAGGTGGGTGTATGTGCTTTATTAATTTATTGGTCTGGAATTGCTACAATATTTGGGTCTGCAAAAACTATGCATGATACCAGGGACGGCCCTAGACTTATGGGGGCCCTAAGCGAGCTTTGCCCCCCCCCCCCCCTGCGCGTTCTCACTACACACAACACAGAACCAACTTGTGTCTTATGATGATAGCATGAGCACACATATTGTATAAATAACCATGTAAACACCGTGGACCTAACCTCCTCTAGGGGGGTCCTCGAAGATTTTTTTTTTAAATATTGCAGTTAAAAGCATCAATCTGGTGCACTTTGAGAGCAACATGAATAGATCTATGGATACATCTCTCAACACCCAGATGAAACAGAACTGTAAACAGATTTTTCTTTATGGATATTTTACAAATCACTTAAACTTTATTCTTGTTTTGTCATATAGTATTTCATAACTGATTTTCATGTATTCTCTCTGGCTGTCCATCTCATAATGTTCACATAGAAACTAGCTGTCAATAGGAATATAATTCAGAAGAATTATAATTTCTTGCAAATATCTGTCACAAAAATAGATAATTCACTTTAGTCTAAGTTATCTCAGTGGGTCTCAAACGTTTTGATCACAATTTATGTAAACACATATTTCCAAGGCACTCCTTTATAATTATTGGGATAAAACAGGTTTGAAATCATTCCAATGTATACTATAGGACAGTAAATCAGACATATCGTTTTAAACTGGCGAGAAAAAAATATACATAAATAAAATAGTAAAATAAGATATGAATGAACAACAAAAATAAAATACGTTACATGTATTTGTTATTGGCTATGGTAGGTTATTGGTTATGTTCACATACTTATTTAATTATTAAAATTAGGGCCGGGACTCGATTAAAAAAATTAATCTAATTAATTAGAGGCTTTGTAATTAATTAATCGAAATTAATCGCATTTTTAATCACATATACATATTTGACCTAAGAACAGTGAGAAGCAATTTTTTTCCACATGGATTTTAGTATACCATTAGGCGCATTCACACCGCAGTACTTTTCCCACAAAGGTTCATGAGAATTTAGTTCATGAGAACTCTTTGAACCTGGGGGTGGATTAGGCAAATGAAGTCGCTGACGTCACTTCTTCTTCTTCTGCTTTGGGTTTACTGGCAGGCCGCAAACCACTTCACGGCGTATACTGCCGCCCAAAGTCCCCGGAGTTGGGGACTGGCTTCAGTAGAAGCTGCTGGGAGTCCCAGCAGCCTTCCGAGTAAATCGCCAGAACGCCGACACCTCCTCATCTCCACTGCTCCCATGTTTTATTTTGTGTTGCCATAAGTTAGTCTCTCTGCGTTTCTGCGCTGGGCTAATGCTAATGCTAATGCGAGGATAATAAAATGGCGGCTTCACAAAACTTTTTGGGAGTTTTACGGGGCGTGGTTTGCAATCCGCCCAGCCAATCAGAAATATAGCTCTTTTCTCACAAGAGAGCCGTACGAAAGTCCCTGCTCTCTAGCAGCTCTCTGCTCTCTAGCAGGGACTTTGGTGGGGGTAAAAAGGTTCTCATGAACTAATTTTAGTACCTGCTCTTTTTGGTGTGAACGCGATAAAAGAGGCTAACGTCCACGCTAGCTTCCACGCTAGCTGCTATATGTTTTTGCATTGAGGTGATACTTGAGGCTTGATGTGCTGCGGTGATATGCGAATTTCTTTTTGCATAATTTGCACACAACCGTGCTCTTATCGATGCTTCCATCCGTCCGTTTTTTAAAACAACATTTCCCACTGTTGTTCACTGTGGTTTGTTGTTGTCTGAAGTCATGAACGTTAGTGAAAACTCATCCAGTGAGAAACGTTCCGCGGTGCAAAAATAAGTGCGATTAAAATGCGTTAATTTTTTTAACGCGTTAATTTTTGTGTAATTAATTAATCTTAATTAACGCGTTAAAGTCCCGGCCCTAATTAAAATGTAAACCGATCTTTTTCGTATTTAGAGTTGTACCCCCTCGATCTAGTCTCTAGTAATTCTGCTTAAAGTGCACCAGATTGAAGCATATTACTTTCAAATGTTCAAACATTTCTTCCAGGTATGCCTGAGAAGGCAGATATGCTTGTTTTTCTCAACAAGAACTGTTCTATAAAAGTTGGACTGTTGCACTGTTGTAGCTTAAGTGGTTCTCAGGTTACAGTTACATAGCAGTGAATATAAACAGACTGATTAATGTGAATATTACTGTAAACTAACCTGTGTAAAAGTTTCTCGAATAAATGTAATTTTTTTGGTGGAAGAAGCATGTATAATGTTTTTACCCTGCCCCTCAAAGAATCGGAATCAAAAAGTAGAATCGGAATCGGAATCGTGGAAATTCAAACGATACCCAACCCTACACATAACATCCATATATTTCAGTGCTAGGTTGATGCTTAGCTAAGCTAACTATGAAACACTTTAACTGACAGGACTCCGGATCAACTGTGTAGGGGAGAGTGGGGTAAATTGAGCCATTTTTTAGTTATGCTGTCCTCTAAGCAAGGAGAAATGACACATAGTAAACATGAAAACACACACCTATAATTCAGGATGTCTCCTATCAATGGCAATGATAATAATTAATATTTGATCAAGGACAGTGAAAATATTACTTCTTAAAAAAAAAAAGTCTTGTGGCTCAACTTGCCCCAGTGTAGGGGGTAAGTTGATCCAGGTCAGGGGGTAAATTGAACCACTGTTCAAACCTGGGCATACCTGTTCAAACCTGGGCATACCTACAACAAATCTTAAAGGTAACTATAATCAATAAATAACAAACCAAATACAAGCTTAGTTTTTCAAATATTTTAATATACATTGATTGAATTGATTGATTTTTTTTTAACATGTTAAAAGGAAAAGTAATCATACAAATGGTGATACAATTTCATACATCTTACCAATCAAACACAGGGTAAATTCAACTTTAATATAGCCTACAATGAGCTCTTATTATTAACTTGGCCTACTTTCATTAATTTCTCCATTGAAAAACTGGCTCAACTTACCCCATAGCCACCATTTTAGAAAAAATAGCCTAGCATTAAAATTCAGAGTCATCTTTAGCTTAATGATTCACATGGTTTAATACGCTGCCAACACATCAACATATACAATATATGTGTTTAAACCTGGATACTTTTTTTTTGACATGACAGCCGATATAGCTGACATCTAGAAAATGTTCTTTGACAAGCAAAAAACGTTTTTTTGTAAAAATGTTTACTTACTAGAACACAATGAGGATCTCTCTTTCACAGGCAATGAGAAATGGGTGGAGCTTGCATCATTTCTGGTCACTTGATTACAACTACAAGGCGTTGCCTGGTTACAGAGGTGGTTCAACTTACCCCCTTCTCCCCTACTGTAAGGTAGCTTCTAGCTTCATGTTGCACAGTAAGTCAACATTTCCCAGAGAGCTTTCTTTGAAATCACCAGGTAACGCTAAAAAACATAACATTTAGATTGTATGACAAAGTGTTTATTTAATATATCTGGCTAGCTATAGCTACTTGCTAACGGTTTAGCTTACCCCCGCGATTCAAAGTAACGTCAACGTAGCTGTAATTTATGCTTTGCTTACATGTTGACATCACTTTTAAGTTTACTGACATTTACATATCTTGTTCACCTGGCTCAGGTGGTGGCTCTGGGGTTGTTGTGTGAGCCACCACTTGAGAATTGCCGTCTTTTTTATAAAAAAAATGTCTAATGTCCATCTTCAGAAACTCCGCGTCCGCGGCTGAAAGTTTAAAGTTTAAACACTGTCACAGAGGAGAGGTACGTATACCTGTCAGCCAATAAAACAAGTTTATTTCAATGCAACTCTCTGATTGGTCTGGTGGTGTCCTGCCTCTGTTGCATTAACTGAACACGGGAAATTACAATCCTGCCGTCCTCTCTGTCATGATGAGGTTCAGGTAAAGCACGGTTAATGACTTTGAGAGTAGGCAATCTAGGCATATTAACACAATGAATTAAACATACTTATCACGGCGACGGTGTACTGAGATTTATTTTATTGTTTTGCTAGGGGCCCCTTAGTGACTGCGGGGCCCTAAGCCACCGCTTATGTTGCTTAATGGGTCGGGCCGGCTCTGCATGATACAGGTGACAGGTAGTTTGGAGTAATTGTGTGAAAGTGTGTTTCCAGCTGCAGTCCTTTGAGATGTTTTGAAACCAAAGAAGTGGCGGTTAGGTACAGACAGAAGACAGCGTCATAAAGACAGCATGAAGAGCAACAGGAAGAGTCTGTAGGGTCCAATATTCCCAGTCTCACCCCTGCTCACAACATCAAGAGTTTGCGTCAGTGTGGATTCCTCGGATAACCCGATTTAAAATTCTTTCTTTGGGTTGATAAGAATCAGAAGATGCCAGGAGAGGATGCCAGGCCCTGCTGTTTTTGGAGATGCGTCGTGTGATTGATGTTTATTTTAAATGACTCAGATATTCTGCTGCATCCTCCCTGAATGAATGCCTCCAACTTCCCGCTCACCACTGGTGATTACTGCTGCACTCATTTCTAGAAACAGCGGTCACAGAAACCATCGCAGTGTCTCAGTCACACCACACAGTGACTGGGTTAACTGGCGGCTGTGGTTGTGATGAGTCCTCTCTGCAGCTCTGAGCTCCTGTTAAACTTTAAGCATGTACACATTTGGCCTGGTGAGAGCTCCCAAAGATGAAAGGGAGCGTTACAATTAATAGTTTCCACAGGAGGGAACATCAAAGAGCCTCACGTATTAATACAAGAAAGGCTTCTCTGAGCCTTTTGTTGTCACGGTTCACAAAGGAACGAATCCTCAGCCGTTGTTTTTATGGTCATTCTATAAATCCAGAAAATCCTGCAGTGTTGTAGTTTCAGTCCAATCAGGGAACATACTGTGCTGTAACACTACGGCCACAAGACAGAGGCAATAGTCTTTTATGAAGCAATAAATTATAACTATTTTTAGTAGTAAAAGTATTTGGAAGACTAAACTGTTAAATGTCGAAGCCAGGAGTGAACACCAGAGGGCAGCGTCAGTCTGTGAGACATGTGACTGTATTCTGGTACTGAGCTATAATTAAACAGTGTTCAATTGTTACATTAGAAGAGCTTTAAAAACGTCAAATAATGAAAACACGACATGTTATAAGATGTGCTGTTTTGTATTGTATGCATGTTTTTCAAATATACAGACCATAATAACAAATGCATGAGCATCTACGCTTTGCTAGTATAATTTATTCAAAGGGTAATTAAAATGACCCATGGCTACGGTTTGTCATTATTACGAACATCTCTGCTGTTCTATGCAATCCTTTTTGAAATACAATGTATCACTTTTATTTTAGTTTGACACGCTTTCATTGAGGTCCCAGGTTTTGACCCCGCTGGAGAGGCCTGAAGTTAACATATATATTAAACTGAAGTAAACAATGAGTACTATTACTTATGTACATTTTGATACTCCTCAAAGTAAGATTTTGAATGCAGGAATGTTATTGTTTCAGACACTGTGATATTTCTACTTTTGCTTGTGTAAAAGGTCTGAATACTTCCTTTAAATCACAAATAAACACAAATAAACAAATGGAACAATGCACTCCTACTGACTGTCCTACAGTTAGACATCTGTCCAACTTCCAGCTTCCTTCAGATTGCAGAGGCATCCATGGGGCTGCATTGACACCCCTTACATCCAGTGGCGCCTCCAGAGATTGTTCATAGGGGTGGCCAAATGGGGCCACTGAAAATCTTGGGGTGGCCCACTAAAACCAAGAATTTAATTGTTGTAGACTAGATGAAAACAATGGCAGAGAGAATCACCGACTGATATACTTTGGTTTCTTATTTTACATTTTCTGATACTATTCATCTGAAGTGAATATAATACGGATAGTTAACATTTGACTTCAAACAACATTTAAAAGAACCTTGTTTTGTGTTATGTATACATCTGTTGGTGATTTATTGTTTTGTTTTTTATATATGCTAGTTGTTCTTTCCTTTTAAAAAGACAAATACAGCTTAATTTAAATAAGTTCCTTTATTGTAAGGCACAAAATGTTCAGCATTCTCAACACATACAATACACAACAGCAACACAACATGTTCTTCAGTTATATTATGTCTCTAGGTTATATATTGTTTTAGACTGAACAAAGCTGTTTGTCACACTGGGATCAAAGATGATTGACATTACTTCATTAAATCAAGTTTTAAAACATGACAATATTTTATTTCAACAGGACCCAAAAACACAAGGGGTATAAAATGGTAAATACATACTGTGATTGAACACAAAAACACCATCTATTATTGAACTTTATAGCAAATTCAAAACATTATAAATGATACAAAACACCACCTTTTAGTTAGACAGAAAATAGGTGACGAGACATATTTCAATTTTTTTAGATTAGGCCACTGTGGTGAGCGTACATATAGCTTGTATTCCATTTGTTTTGAAAATGTATATACTTTATAAACAAACTGGTTACCCTGTTTTTAACTTAGCATACAGAACATTATGAAACAAACTTGACTAATGGTCGGCTCATAACCTCAGAACACAGAAGAGGAACAACTGCATAGATTCTCGTTTCATTTTGAAGGAGCTGCGGACCTAAAGTGTGTAGAAGACTTAAATGATTAAAAAGGTCACAATCACATTAATAAAACTGTATTTAGGTTTTAGTTTCACTTTTACAACACAGAGTTCCACATGGACTTTCTAGCATGTATGGCCATCTCCTCACCAGCCCTATGCTGCTGCTCCCCTGCCAGCTCTGTCTATCCTTTACTCATCTTCTTCTTAAAATAAGAAGAGATGTCTGTTGACTTTCTCTTCATTTTCTGCAAATTGACATTACACACAGCAGTGATTAATAGTAGCCTACGCATTACACCAGCCCAGCATACCGACATCAGCTAACGTTAGCTTAGCAAGCTAAACTAACGCTAACTAGGATAGCTGCCAAAGTGTGTTTACAGACGAATTATACCTGAAGTCAAGCCAGCCTTTACTGAGCCCCGAGCCTGTTTTTCAGGTCTTCCAGCGGTTTTCTCGTTGTAATGCCATTGAACACATTTTGATCAGAATAACAGCTAAAGGTAAGCATATCTCCGTTTTTTGCTACCTAAAGCTAACACACTAAAGCCTAAAGTGTTGTGGGACTTAACAGGCAACGAACAAATATGACTTACCTTCTAGAAGTCAGGTGGATTTTTGTCAACTCCAGTCCAGTCAGTAGAAAGAAACGTTTTGCTGCAACCTGCTGCTGTCTGTGCGAATCTCAGAGTGGTGCGTACGAGTATCAGAGTGGTGCGCGCGAGTATCAGAGTGGTGCGCCGAGTATCAGAGTGTTACCATGGTAGCAGAGGGAGAGGGAGGGGCTGCAGTATGAGCGTTAGAAGCTCAAATCAAGCGACTCGCTGGCTGTGTATTTGTTGTTAAATATCAGATAAACTAATACGCATACGTGACTGGCGAGGCGGTGTGTGTGGTGGGGGGGGGGCCAACAAATATATCAGGGTGGCCATGGCCCCCCCCTGCTGGCGCCACTGCTTGCATCTTCTCTTTAAACAAAGTTCACCATATATAAAAGGTATATGGTATAGACAAAATAATAAAACAAAGTGGACATTAAATGCATTATTCCACATCAGAAAATTGACGAATAGAGTGGAATTGAACGTGTAGAGTGAAATAAATATAAAAACACCAAGAAGTATCTGTACAAACATCTTCTACTTCATACCATGGGTTCTTCTACTTATGAAAGTGTTGATTAAAACAAAAATTGAATAAATAAAAGTACTTTAGTCACCAAATTGTAATTACATTTATACTGTACATGTTTACACAGTGAGGCACATAAATGGAAATATTAGATTTTGAATTTATTTTGAAATCAAGTCTTGTATTCCTAATTGTAATCCTAATTGTAATCATATTGTAATCCTAATTGTATTCCTATTGTAATCCTAATTGTATTCCTATTGTAATCCTAATTGTATACTAATTGTATTCCTAATTGTAATCCTATTGTAATCCTAATTCTATTCCTATTGTAATCCTGTATCCTAATTGTATTCCTAATTGTAATCCTAATTGTATTCCTATTGTAATCCTAATTGTATTCCTATGGTAAACCTAATTGTATTCCTATTGTATTCCTAATTGTATACTAATTGCAATCCTAATTGTATCCTAATTGTAATCCTAATTGTATTCCTATTGTAATCCTAATTGTATTCCTATTGTAATCCTAATTGTATTCCTATGGTAATCCTAATTGTATTCCTAATTGTATTCCTATTGTATTCCTAATTGTATTCCTAATTGTATACTAATTGTAATCCTAATTGTATCCTAATTGTATTCCTAAGTGTATACTAATTGTAATCCTAATTGTAATCCTAATTGTAATCCTATTGTATTGTGAAAACTATGTGTGAGGTGGGTGAGGGAGTTAGGAGGAAGGAGGTGAGGGGAATGGAGGAGGGACTTGTATTAGTAGTATAGTTGTTAGGTTGGAGGCGGGAATCATAGCCATAGAAGCCCGGCTCCGCATCTTAGAAAGAAACTCAGCTACAGTAAAGCCCATGTTAGCCGGTGCGGACCGGCAAAAGGTAGCTCCTATTAGCCGTCCCCCGGCAACTCCCGAGCAGCAGGGAGACTGGGTGACTGTTCAGAAGGGGCATAACGCGAAACCCGCAGGTCCCCACCAACCCGTTCACGTATCTAACAGATATTCCCCACTCAGCGAGACACCCGCTGAGAAGCCAACTCTGGTTATTGGTAGCTCTATTATGAGACACGTGAAATTAGAGACCGAAGCCTCCACAGTCACATGCATTCCGGGGGCCAGAGCGGGCGACGTTGAGGCGCATCTTAAACTGCTGGCTAAAAATAACGTAAATACAGTAGGATTGTTATTCACGTCGGTGGTAATGATGTTCGTATACGCCGATCAGAATGCACCAAACTTAATGTGGAGTCGGTGTGTAGTTATGCTAAAGCAATGTCGGACACCGTAATCTTCTCTGGTCCCCTCCCCAATCTGATCAATGATGACATGTATAGCCGCATGTCATCATTTCAGCGCTGGTTGTCTTGGTGGTGCCCAGCAAACAATGTGGGCTTCGTAAATAATTGGACAGCCTTCTGGGGAAAACCTGGTCTGATTAAGAGAGACGGCATTCATCCTACTTTGGAAGGTGCCGATCTCATTTCGGCAAACATTTCAGGGCTTTGTGGACTTAATCCATGACAAACTGGAGTTGAGACCAGGAGGCTGCGCTCTCTCCTAGGCAGTCATCCATAGGAATCCCGAACCCAATAAAATACCCAATATTAGCGGTGTGTGTGTCTGCCCAAGGACAAGTTAAGGTAAAACCTAATAGAGGTGTCATACATAATAACCTAATCAAAGTAAATGTAACAACTACTACAGTGCAACAAAACAGGAAGATTAAATGTGGTCTCTTAAACATAAGATCTCTAGCATCTAAAGCAATATTGGTAAATGATTTAATATCAGATTATAATATTGATATATGCTGTCTCACTGAAACTTGGTTGAGACATGAAGAATATGTCAGCATAAATGAGGCCACTCCACCCAGCCATATCAATACTCATATTGCCCGAGGCACGGGCCGAGGAGGTGGAGTTGCAGCCATCTTTGACTCAAGTTTACTTATCAATACTAAACCAAAATTAAATTATACCTCCTTTGAAAGTCTCGTTTTTAGTCTTACGCATCCGACCTGGAAAACTTTGCAGCCAATCTTATTTGTTACAGTGTACCGTGCACCAGGTCCTTATTCAGAATTCTTATCTGAATTCTCTGAGTTTTTATCAACTTTGGTTCTTAAAACAGATAAAGTAATTATCGTAGGTGACTTTAATATTCATGTTGACGATGATAAAAATAGCCTTACTGTTGCATTTAACTCTATATTAGATTCTGTTGGTTTTTGTCAGAGTGTAAATAAACCAACCCACTGCTATAATCACACTCTCGACCTTGTTCTGACTTATGGTATTGAAATTGAGCAACTATTAGTCGAACCGCATAATCCTGCTTTATCCGACCATTTCTTAGTAACTTTTGAAGTACTGTTACGAGACTACAAAGCATTAGTCAAAAGCTCCTGCAGCAGAAACCTATCTGTTAGTGCTATAGCCAAATTTAAGGAAGAGATTCCACCAATACTTAACTCGATAGCATGTCTGCATGTAAGGGAGGAAACTTATACAAAATGTACACCACCCCAAATTGATCATGTTGTTGATAGTGCTACAGATGCGCTGCGAATAAAATTAGACTCTGTTGCTCCTTTGAAAAAGAAGAAAATAAAACAACATAGACTAGCTCCATGGCATAATGCCGAAACCCGCAAAATAAAGCAAAAGTCGAGACAACTTGAAAGGATATGGCATTCTACTAAACTTGAAGAATCTCGTTTAATTTGGCATATTACTCTCAATGAATATAAGAAAGCATTGCGTAAAGCGAGAGCAGCTTACTACTCTTCATTAATAGATGAGAATAAGAATAATGCAAGATTTCTTTTCAGCACTGTAGCCAGGCTGACAGAAAGCCACAGCTCGATTGAGCCTTCTATTCCCATAGCACTCAGTAGCAATGATTTTATGTGCTTTTTTAACGATAAAATTGTTACTCTTAGAAACAAAATTAATGACCTCTTGCCTTTGACCAGTATAGTGTTATCAACAGCTCCCGGAAACGTAAGTTCTAATATTACACTAGATCAGGGGTGGCCAACCAGTCAGAGGTTAAGAGCCACATTTTTTCTATGTTACTGCAAAGAGCCACATCAAACACACTGATACCGCTTGTTTCAGTTTTTTGTTTTCTGGAGACAAGATTTCAACCATGTCACTGATGCATTTTTGTGGCATTGGGATATATATTTTTTAAATCCTCTGGAGCAGAGAGAGGAGCTGTGGATTATTGTTATTGATTAATGCATCAGTGTTTCTTAGGGTCAAAAACACTAAACTCACAACTTGAAATGAAAGCGTTTAGTTTATTTAATAAAAGAGCACATGTTCAATGTGAAAAGTGACAGTAGTTATAGATTATTTGCAATTTGGTGCTATGTATATATTTAAAAAAAATAAAATTATATATATTTTTTAAACACCTTGAATTTCAGGGGGGGCGCGGGGCTCCGTTGGCGGGGTGCAGCGCCCCTCCAAGACAATGGTAGGGGAAACACTGGATAATGTTTAATCAACGATAGGTTTCCCCCCCTCAAAGGTGATTGGTTCACCGCATCGCAGGTATTATTGTGATTGGCTCTTGGGCCACATCAAAATTAGACGCGCTGGCATCCTCTCATACTGACACATGACACCACACATACACACGTAGAGCCGGGACGAAAGTAACACAGGACGAAAGTAACGGAGCGATTTTATCCGAGCCCAAACAACTTTGACCGGCCAAATTACGTCAGAATGATCAGCATTCGATACTTAACAGACCTACTAAATATTAGGTTTAACTCTGAGGAGTAGTGTTGTCACGGTACCAACATTTTGGTTTCGATACCAAGTCAAGAATTGCGATTCCGATTCTTTTTCGATACTTTTCTTAAAAAAAGGGAAACAGTCTTAAATGTAATTATTGTGCTTTATTTCACACCAGAACCATAACCATAACACAAACTTTTAAACAATGAGAACAATAAATAAAATAAATGACAAGAATTCGTATTAAATAAAATTAATACATGTCTCACAGACAGGCCGAGGCGCAGCGGCAGTTGCACTCCCACTTGCAGCCATGCTTCTCGTTTTCTCACATGCTCTGGCAGCTAGCGCGTGCATGAGAGAGGGGAGGGACTTAGAGCGTGATTGAGAAGGGAGGGGCTGCAGGCACGGCTGCAGTGCAGGGAGTGGAAGCAGAGCGCTGAACACACACGGCTCTTATTAAAACAGCGCTTTCTCACCGGAGTACTTTTCTCCGTCATTCTTAAAGTACCGATACTAATGAAACGGAGGAATCGTAACGTTTTTAACGGCAGGGTATTGCGGTACCTTTCAAGTATTGGTACACCGTGCAACACTAGTCAGGAGTCAGTGTCTCTCCCCCAAACTCACACATATAAAATTCGATATGAACTGAAGAGCCGCATGAAACTAGGCAAAGAGCCGCATGCGGCTCGAGAGCCGCGGGTTGGCCACCCCTGCACTAGATAGTAAACTAGAATGCTTTTCAGCCATAAACCTTGAACAATTCAATTCAATGATTCTCTCTTCTAAACCATCAACGTGTATGTTAGACCCAATTCCAACTAAGCTGTTGAAGGAAGTTTTTCCATTAATTAGCACTTATTTATTAAATATTATGAATATGTCTTTATTATCAGGCTATGTTCCACAATCATTCAAAGTAGCAGTGATAAAACCGCTTCTTAAAAAGCACAACCTCGATCCAGAGGTTTTAGCCAACTATAGACCTATTTCTAATCTTCCGTTCCTCTCAAAAATTCTTGAGAAAGCGGTCGCAAAACAGTTGTGTGATTACTTTAAAAAAAATGATTTATTTGAAGCTTTTCAGTCTGGCTTTAGAACACATCATAGCACAGAGACAGCTCTGGTTAAAGTCACAAATGACATTCTAATAGCCTCTGACAAGGGACGTGTCTCTATTCTTGTTTTGCTCGATCTCAGTGCTGCATTTGATACTATCGACCATGATATCTTATTGCAAAGACTAGAGCACTTAGTTGGCATACAGGGAACTGCTTTAGACTGGTTTAGGTCCTATCTATCTGAACGCTCTCAGTTTGTACGTGTCAATGATGAATCTTCCACGCAAACCAAAGTTAGCCATGGAGTGCCACAGGGCTCAGTGCTGGGACCTATTTTGTTCACATTATATATGCTTCCGTTAGGCAATATTATAAGGAATCATTCTGTAAACTTTCATTGTTATGCGGATGATACTCAACTATATTTATCAATCAAGCCTGATGAAATTAATCATCTAAATAAAATTCAAGACTGCCTTAAGGACTTAAAAACGTGGATGACCTTAAACTTTTTGATGTTAAACACGACCAAAACTGAAGTTATTGTACTTGGCCCGAAGAATCTACGAAACAAATTATCTAAGGATATACTAACTATGGATGGCATTAATTTGGCCTCCAGTGAGACTGTAAGGAATCTTGGTGTTATATTTGATCAGGATTTATCCTTTAACGCCCACATAAAATCAATTTCAAGGACCGCCTACTTCCATCTACGTAACATTGCAAAAATCAGGCATATCTTGCCTCAAAACGATGCAGAGAAACTAGTCCATGCATTTGTTACTTCAAGGCTGGATTATTGTAACTCTTTATTATCAGGGTGTACCAAGAAGTCAGTCAAGTCGCTTCAGCTGATTCAAAATGCTGCGGCTCGTGTACTAACCAGAGTTAGGAAAAGGGACCACATTACTCCTGTTCTGGCTGCCTTACACTGGCTCCCTATAGAACACAGGATAGAATTTAAAATTCTTCTTCTCGCCTACAAAGCCCTTAATGGGCAGGCGCCATCTTACCTTAAAGAACTCATTATACCCTACTGTCCTACTAGGGCATTGCGTTCCAAGAATGCAGGGTTGTTGGTTGTTCCTAGAGTCTCTAAAAGTACAATGGGAGCCAGAGCCTTTTCTTATCAAGCTCCACATTTGTGGAATCAGCTTCCAGTTTGTGTTCGGGCGGCAGACACCCTATCCGTTTTTAAGAGTGCGCTTAAGACCTTCCTTTTTGATAAAGCTTATAGTTAGGGCTGATTAGATCCCGCCCCTACTTTTGCTGATATAGGCTTAGTTTGTCGGGGGACATCTTACTTCTTTCCTTCTCCTCTGTCTATACCTGTGTACTCTCATGTTCCGATTAACCCAGCTTCCCCAAATGTCTTTCTTTTTGGTGTCTATATACGCCCGGATCCGGAGTCATGGATGATCCTGCGCTCCTCTGTCCTGGATCGCGAGCCCTGGATCTTGAGTCGTGGCTGTGGTCCTGGATCATAGGTCCTGGATGGATATCCTCGTGGATTCATCTTCCTATTATACACACATGCATTTCCAAACATTTGGACTACCTATGTTGCAAATGTATTATCTTTTCAATTTACACACGGCATCTATTGCACGTCTGTCCGTCCTGGGAGAGGGATCCCTCCTCTGTTGCTCTCCCTGAGGTTTCTCTCTCCCATTTTTTCCCTTTAAACTGTGGGTTTTCTCCGGAAGTTTTTCCTTGTACGATGTGAGGGTCTAAGGACAGAGGGTGTCGTATTGTCATACTGATATTTTGTACAAACTGTAAAGTCCACTGAGACAAATGTAACATTTGTGATATTGGGCTATATAAATAAACATTGATTGATTGATTGACTTAATATTCATGTTTTTTTTCAATCTTATTTTAATTGCTGTAAAACCTGAGATCCAGGAGAAAACCCTACATGAGAAAAAGGTGAAGGGAGGAGGCGGGTGAGGCAGGAGGAAGGAGGTGAGGGAAATGGAGGAGGAAGAGGATGAGGAAGAGGGAGTTACTGTTGTCCAGCCGGAGCTGAATCACCAGCCTCCATCTTCTCCGTCTCCTTTGAGGCGCTGTTTATCCCCTCAGCTTCCTCCCTCTTTGATTTCTTCCTCATCTCCTTCTCTAGCATCCTGCTCTTCATCTTCTGCAAGGCGACGTCTCTGTCCTCAGTGTCCCTCCTTCTTGTTCTCCATGTGAAGACAGAGGTCCTCCAGCAGCTTCTTCTCCTCCTCCATCTGCTCCTCCTTGACCTCCCTGCTCAGTTGAGCCAGGTCGTCCCTCTGCTCCTCCGCCTGCTTCCATCGGGTCTCCATCAGATGAACCTTGGTCTCCCAGATCTCTTGGTTCTGGGCCAGGCCTTTGGAGAACATCTCCTTCTGCTCATCCCATTGGTTCTCCATCTGCTTGACCTCCTCTCTTGGACTTCCTTCTCCAGGATCTGGTTCTTCTCGGCAGAGTCCTTTTCCTCATCCTCTGCCTTTCTGAATGTCGCCTGAACCTCTTTCAGGTCCTTCTCCCTGCTCTGGTGTTTCTGAGCCAGGTCAATCTTCTCCTGAGTTAATTTGATCTCCACCAAATTAACCTTGGCTTCCCAGCTCTCCTGGTTCTGGGCCAGGTCTTTGGAGAACGTCTCCTCCTGCTCTTCCAACTTGTTCTCCAACTGCTTGACAAGCTTCTCCTTCTGTTGGACAAACAGCTCCCAGCTCAGCTGTTTCTCAGCCAGGTCTTTGGAGAACCTCTCCTTCTGTTCATCCGAATCGTTCTCCATCTGCTTGACCTGCCTCTCCTTCAGTTGGACTTCCTTCTCCAGGCTCAGGTTCTTCTCGGCAGAGTCCTTTTCCTCATCCTCTGCCTTTCTTAATGTCGCCTGAACCTCTTTCAGGTCCTTCTCCCTGCTCTGGTGTTTCTGGGCCAGGTCGTTCTTCTCTTCCTCTACCTCTTTTAATTTGATCTCCAAATGAAACTTGGCTTCCCAGCTCTCCTGGTTCTGCGCCCGGTCTTTGGAGAACCTCTCCTCCTGCTCTCTCATCTGGTCTTTCAGCTGTTTGACATCCGTCTCCCAGCTCTTGTTTTTCTTGGCCAGGTAATTTTTCTGCTTCTCCACCCGTTTGAGTTTAGCTTCCATCTCCTCCTCCAGATCGCTGTTTCTATTCTCCAAGATTGTCACACACTCAAGGAGTTCCTCGCCTTTTCTCATCAGCTCTTTCACGGTCTCATCTCCTTTCCTCATCCTCAGTTTTTATTTCTCTGGGTCACACTGCTGAGGAACATCATTGTTCTGGCTGTCAGATGTCTCCTGGTTCTTCTGGTCTGAGATCTTTCCCTTCTCTGCCTCAGACGTTGCCACAATGTGGTCCAGCTGCTGCTTGTGCTGATGCTCTGCAGCTTCCATCTGATCCTTCAGACGTGAGATTTCCGCCTCACGGTCCTGGATGACGTCAAAGAGCCTTTTATTCTCTTGGTCCAACCCTGAGTTCCTGTACTTCAGGACTTCCTCAAGACGTTTGACCTTGTCTTTCTCAATGCGCATCCTGTAGCTAAAGCTAACCCTCTCCTGCCCAAAAGCCATGTGATACTCCTCCAGGCCGTGTATCTGGCCATTTCTGCAGTGGATCTGCCTGTAAGCTCGATCAGCTACAGCTCCATGGCCAAAGGGCCTGGGGTTTCCCCTCTGGTTCTGGTGGACTTGTGTTGTGCGTAGGTACAAATAATCTGTTGGTCTGTGGAAGAATTTGTCCGTCTAGAAGACTGAAGGTTGTCTGAATGCGTCTATCTCTTGCCGATCTGCAGTGAAGAAGTGAATGCAGATCCTCTGATCCTGAAGGTCTTACTAGAAGAAGAAGAAGAAAGAAGAAGAAGAAGAGAAGAATAGAAGAGAAGCATAGAACGAAAATCAGAATAATAAGAATAGAAACGAAGAAGAAGAAAGAAGCATAAGAAGAAGCCTCATCCCCACTCCTCGCTCCTCCCCGCCTCCTCCCCCCATCCCCTCACCCCTCCTCCTCTCCTCCTCCTCTCATCTCCATCTCCGCCTCCCTCCTCCCCCTCCCTGCCTCCCTCTCCTCCTCCTCCTCCTCCTCACTTCTCCTCCTCCTCCTCCTCCTCCTCCTCGCCTCCTCCTCCTCTAATCATCCGGGACCTTTATTAGGGGGGAAATTCAGTTTCCACTCTGTCGTACACACACATGCGTTTTTATACAGGCCATACAGTACACACTTTTTAGAACATGCACATACAAATACACACACAGTTATATGCACACATGCACATGCACATGCACATGCAGTTGCAGGCCACAACGATAACTTTTAAAAGTGGTTGCCAGGCTGGCAACCAGGCATCAGCTTTTGGTTTCCAAAACTGAAAATACGGTTGCCATTTTTGTCACCTTATATTTTAAATAATATACAGTTATGCATCAACTTAATAATGAAAATGTGAAACAAAAGAATGTTCAAATGCTTTACAATAAGTAATTAACACAATTATTTGAAACTAAAGTGGTAGGAAACTTGTCCACCCTCAATTGCTGGTATACTAAATACCAGTAGTGCAGCTGTTGTCCTGTTCTTCACAGATCCCTCACAAGTGAATTGAGCAAGTCACTAGTTTCGTCATCCGTTGTCTCCCTTTCAAGTGTGGGTTTTCTTGACCTCTGTGCTGACCCCCACCATAGATCCACTGGCCCTTCAGCATTGAAGTCTTGGATTGGCCAGACTAATACATTTCTAATGTTAAATAAATGAAAACCATTCACAGCTAAGAATTAGATATTAATTATTAATGCTGTAAATTACCTTTAATATGTCTAACTATATTTAAAATGTGTTACCTTTTTATAGAAGTGATTATATTTGTATGCCATTATTTTTCTATGGTAAAGTTTTCTTTTGCATTTATTTTGGTAGTAACAAGATTGGGACTCTTATTTTGAAGGAACTTTTACCGGAAGTGAATGGACAATGAATATTTCGCCTCCCAAGACCTTACAAATGTCCTCTTTGCTTTTCGTTCGGGTTCATCTTGCGCTTTATCAGTTGAATCACTTTGAACATTCGTTTGAGATGTTGACGGGTTGGCCGAACTTTTGACCCCACAGTCAAACAACTTAATTTGCTTCGCCATTTTTTGTAAAACACACACATGGCGCACCGCGCACGCGAGTAAACGTGCATCGCTTTCTGGCTCTGTAATCACCAATGCATGTGCATCAGGTTCCGACTGGTCACAACAATAATTAAATATCACTCTTAATACAACACATAATTAACATTTATCTATTTTGGGGTGCACATTTTGCTGTCCTTATTTCTTTATGTTAAAAAGTGGTTGCCACTGATGGCAACCAAAGGCCAAGAAGTGGTTGACATTTTTTCTGAATGGTTGCCAATGGCAACCTGGCAACCGTTACTGTCGAGCCCTGAGTTGAGAGGTCAGAGCGGAGGCAGCCAGTCTAGCCGGCGCCAGTGAGCAGTTGAGGGTTAGGTGCCTTGCTCAAGGGCACTTCAGCAGTGGCCCCAGCACAAATTGTGTGGTTTAGACGTATGCTGTTGCCATGATATCGTCGTAAGTCAATGGTACCGTATATATTCTGGTTTCCCATAAGAGAAAATATAGCTCCACTAAAATGAATGCACCTTTTTTGTCTGTAAATAAAGTTTGATTTAAATACAATTAAACTGTACAAACAAGGTGACATTTTTGCACACTTCTTGTGTTTTTATAAATATTGTATTAAATTATGTTACATTATAAATGTCTTCAAATTATGTTTGAATTATTTTCCTAATTTTTATTTAACTTTTTATTGAATATTTTTACTTTAACTTCTTGTTTTTATCTAAATATTTGTATTGTGTATTTTCTTTACTCACTTTTCATTTTATTGCATTTTTGAAATTGAGAAACTGTCAGAAAATGTAATTTCCCTCGGGGTAAATAAAGTATTTCTGATAATGATTCAATACAATACACCTGCACATCATTACAAATGATTATTCATTATTTTATTTAACTTCAAGCTTTTTCAAAATCATCCCCTGATTTATTTCATCTCTAATTTATTTGTATTTCTTTTATTTTAATAGTTCTCTACTGATCTGTAGAGATGAGGGTGAGAAGAGAATAAGTTAGAAAAGAGCAATGTGTGTGTGTGTGTGTGTGTGTGTGTGTGTGTGTGGTGTGTGGTGTGTGTGTGTGTGTGTGTGTGTGTGTGTGTGTGTATGTGTGTGTGTGTGTGTGTGTGTGTGTGTGTGTGTGTGTGTGTGTGTGTGTGTGTGTGTGTGTGTGTGTGTGTGGTGTGTGTGTGTGTGTGTGTGTGTGTGTGTGTGGTCTCCAGATGTGCACACACGGCCCTCAATCTGTGGACAGCAAACACTCTGAACTTCTGCAGCGTGTGAAGTGAGCCGAGACCTCTGGCTCCCCATGTGGCCGCCTAATGACGTTTGTTCAGGCCAACATTTGTCTAATTTTATGACTAAATTCACAAGATGGTGACACCTCCGGATGAATTCTTTATCACAAGTACCAAAACAATAACGATTCACCCAAAGACTGAAGCCTGAAACTGCACAATGTTATAGAAAGAGGTCAAATAAAAACAGAAATATGCACGGTGGCATGTGGCTGTGCGGCGCCACAGGGTTTAGGTTTGAGACTAATTACTCATGTTTGTTCTTTACCATGGCTGTGAACATCTAGAGCGGATACAGACAAACAAGAGATGCACACTACATCTGAACCGGCATCTGAAACGTTTAATGCAACAAAAACTAAAGCTTTATGAACTTTTCTGTAATAAATATCTTTTTCCCTGTCAGGTTGAAGCCATAAATACATTCCTTCCTTCCTAATCATCAAATGCATAGCCAAGGGTTTCGCAGACCCAATGCCTTCATAATTGAAGGCCTCAACACGGTATGTTTTAAATGAGAACCAGTAGGCCCTACAGAAAAATACAAAATAATTCCTATTCTTGCACGAATATATGTAAATTCAACCCCTTTCAATTGTTTAGGCAAGGCAATTTATTTGTATAGCACAATTCATACAGTGATGCAATTCAAAGGGCTTTACAGGATCAAACAGATACATGTTTACGATGGTCAAAGTGAGAAGAAATACAAAAACACACAAAACAATTAAAAGAAATGTTAAAAAGAAATGTTTTTAGACCTGATTTAAATGATTCGAGAGTGCTAGCCATTCTCAGATGTTCTGGGAGTTTGTTCCGCATCAGGAGCATAGATGCAGAAGGCTGCTCCCACGCTTTGATCTCACTCATGGAACAGTGAGCTGGCCTGCGCCTGAAGACCTAGGGTCTGCTGGGTTCGTACCGCTGAAGGAGGTCCTTGATATATTTGGGTCCTAGCCCGTTTAGTGCTTTATATGTGTGCAATAAAACCTTAAAATCAATTCTCTCACCTACTTTTTTTTTCTTTTAATGTTTATTTTATTAGCTTTTCTTTTTAATGACTGATTTTAAATGCCATTTTCTTAATCTCTTTCATTTTTTGTAAAGCACTTTGAATTGCCTTGTGTTGAAAAGTGCTATATAAATAAACTTGCCTTGCCTTGCCTTACTGGAAGCCAATGCAGCGATCTCAGCACTGGAGTGATGTGATCTGCTTTCTTTGTCCGGGTTTATTGTTTTTTTAATTTCAAGTCCTTGATTTGCCCTCACATTCACATACTTTCGAGTGTTCCCATGACCCGTGGGAACCATGACTGTATTATGTTGCATTCAGAAAGCTGTATAATAAGCTGACACGAGATAACTGCATACACTTGGGTCATGCTGTGTTCACATTACATTTTCTAGGCTCATACTGCTGGCTAGGTTCCCTTCAGTGCATGGAGAAACTATGAAACATGTATAACCCTCTCATACGCTTTGCTCATCTTTTATTCTGCACAAGTTCAAACCAATGCTGAACATGCAAATATTAAAAGAGCTAGCAGCACTGTTGGCAAAGCACCGCCAAAGCCTCGCAGTCCAGTAACACACACACTGTGATGAACACTAAAGACACACACAAGGAGACTTACACACCGGCTCAGAATTTAGACCTCTAGTGTTAAAACTAAACAGACGCACAAACGCCCCTCCCCATTTGTCGCACAGACACTCATAGATGGTGTTCTCCACTGTTTTTCATTTAGGCACTTTAGCCTCACACTGATCATAATGTGGAGAAATCCACACACAGCTCAAGTCTGACGTAAGGTGGTGACGGGCAGGTGAAGCTAAAACAGCTGAAACTGTGTGATGCCATTGAAGGGAAACTCAGGGTGGAGCCGCCTCCGCCCGCAGGAGAAAGCTGCACTTGTTCCCCGGCAGCAGAAAGCCTGGATGTGCTCTGCAACATGTTTCAGATACAATGAGAGCTTGTTTACACATCAGGAGGCTAAGAGAGCTCTGGGAGAACATGCAGCACATTGAGCAGGGTGTTTCCAGGTGTAAGAGGTGAGACAAACAGGATACAGGAAATGGGCCTGCTTCTTAAAAGGGTCAATCAAAAGATCCCTGATACATAATGCACACAGTGGGGGTGTTGTTCAGAATGAGGTCATGCTACAATGGTCACGGCAAAACTTTTACTTTCAAGAATGTGTGGCATTAATGGTCTGCATGTACACTCAGAGCCTCCATTAGAAGTAGAAGTACTTCATTCAAAGTATATTAGTATAAGCAGCCACATGTAGTGAATGTAAAGTCCTCATTCTGCAGACGTGAGTCCTGTGACAGGTTACACCGAAGCTACAATGTGAGAGCGGCTTTTTAATGTCTCTGCTTGAGGTGGAGCGACTGCAGTTTCAACCAGATACATCTGAGCAGCCACAAGAGTATTCATGTGGAAGGAAAGGCAGTTTTACATTGCCATAGGGGTTGTTGTTGTTGTTGTTGTTGTTGTTGTTATTAATATAAACTTGTCTGTTTGTCAGCAGGATTTAGTAAAAACTGCTTACCCGATTTTCATGAAACTTAGTGGACCCAAATCAAGGGGCCAATACACGCTTGTGGGTCTCAAACAGCTGTTTAAATGAAATCATCAGGGAAAGTTGGGGATATCATAATTATAATAAGATACATTTTCCTTATAATTGAATTACGTGCGGCTCTGGATACTCAGAAGAACAGACTGCAAATGAAAGAGTAATATCATTTTTAGAAGGAAAGGCTTAGGGCTGTTAAAAACATTCATTTTAATCACAAATTGTTGGGTTTGGCCCCAAAATCTGATCCTTTAAAGAGAATATTTAACTTGGTAAAGTGAAGCTGGGCCTTGTTGGATTACATGAGTCTGTCTTACTGTCCTTTAGCTGTACGGTGTAGCAGTGGTACAGTGGGAGGTGAAGTTATTCATCTGTACAAAGAGTGGTGTGTGTGTGTGTGTGTGTGTGTGTGTGTGTGTGTGTGTGTGTGTGTGTGTGTGTGTGTGTGTGTGTGTGTGTGTGTGTGTGTGTGTGTGTGTGTGTGTGTGTGTGTGTGTGTGTGTGTGTGTGTGGGGGGGGGGGGGGTACCGCCCCAGCCTTCAACACAGGGCGTTTGTTTTTGTTTGTTCCCGGTCCTGGAGGTTTGCTGTTAGCTCTAAACTGAGTCCACGTGTGAAGGGAAAGAGACAAGATGTTCCACAGATCTCCCTTTAGAGACCAAGCAGCCATCCCATAACCTTAAGATATATGTTGTGTATGCCACTAGTGAGACAGTCTATATTATAATTGAATAATTGGACTTTATCAAACCAAACGACCAAATAGACTTGAGTTCCAGCACCTTGAATATAGTTTTGGAGTAGTACAGTTACTACTTGTATACAATAGTTGTGAAGTAGTAAAAATAGCCCCAACTTTACCAGTTGCAACTTTGGCAATACTTTGGTAATTACAGTATAATAAAATATAATTAGTATTGTGAAAAGGGCCACTCTGAATGTGTAACTTTACTTACGGTATAACTTGTGTACTTTTACTTACTTGACTTTTAAATGCAGGACATTTACTTGAAACAAAGTATTTTTAAAGTGTGGTATTGTTACTTTTAAAGTACATTAGAATATATGAATACTTTTTCCACCATTACACCTCAGGTTCTGGAAACTGTGGAGCTATTATAATTATGTTGTGAATGTCTGATATATTATGCTAAAATTACAAATGAAATCTTTAAATATTCTTTTGATCGGGGTAGTTGGCAACTTTTCTCACCTTCATAAGTTCAAAGGTCGCTGTGGTCATGTTGTTAAGGCTCACACAGTGTCCACTTGTCATCTTGGATTATTCTTCATTTCCACCATTACCCTAAACAACATTTTTATTTTGGGACAGGGCCTGGTGTTGTACACTGGATGTGATGTGTTATTTCCCCTCTGGTCTGCCGTGACGTCACCATGGGGAAACAGCTCAGAGGCCTCTGCCCGGACTGGTCGAGGACATGCTTCTAAGTTGATGTGTAATGAAATAAAAATGTTGTAGTTTTTATAAAGTTGAGCACTTTGTAGCATTAAGTATGAAGGTGAGGCTGTCTCCCTCCTCCGGTGTCACTCTGGTGTGACTTAGAGGAGGGTGAGTGGGAGGAGATATGCAGATGATGCCAGCGGGGCCCTATTAGTGGCATCTAGAGTCGGCAAAGCTCACAGTGGACTGTTGTCACTCTAACAGAGACCACCACACCCAGAGCCAGCGTCAACACTCAGGGTGGCTTTCTGCTCAGACACACACCTACTGCAGAGACTCTGCTCTTTTTATTCAGGAGGCTCTGTGTTTCCAGAGGGCTGACAATCCATAATATCCATTTGAAGTGAATAGAGTGAAGTATTTGTGGTATTGCTTGACTTTCACTTGACAGAGGAGTACTTTTTTTTCATCTTTACCTCAGTCTGAAGACTCCTTTTACAAAGCTTTTGACATTGGATTTCCAAGGATGCATTTTGTGAGTCCTCTTGTGTTGGTGACTTTATTTTTGTTGCTGATTGAAGCCAAGTTCTACAGACCGCTCCAGTTTAACCAGTACAAGGCTGGACCCACTCAATACCATGAGCAGGGGAAACCCACCAGCAGACACAAGTAAGTTCTTTCTCTAACTGTCTTTCAGAAATCGAGTTTACATCATTTGAGTTTTCGCTCTTAGTAACAAAACTTTGTATTTTTAAAAGCCAGCTATATTGATGTGCAATACCTTTTATCTCTTCTCAAAGGAACCACTGTGCCTACGTTGTTGAAAAGACGGTGTCCTTCACCGTACAGGATGGGGCAGCTCCATATGTGAAAGCTGAGTACAACAAGTGTTCCTGGGGTCAGAAATGTCCAACTCTCCAGTGAGTAAATTACATTTCTTCTTCTTCTTGATATTTCTATATATCTGTGATTGACATTACTTCAGGGTACCAGAGTCAGAGGGGTGTTTCTGATTGGTGTTGGTTGTTCCCTCAGGTATCGTCTGATGTACAAACCGTTGTTCAAGGTGGCACATAAGACCGTCACAGAGCTGGAGTGGCGTTGTTGTCCCGGATACTCCGGTTATGGCTGCATGGAGGGACATCCGGTTTACCAACACCCCATGAAAATGATGCCACCATTTAAGGGCCCACCAATGAAAGGCCCACAGTTCAAGGGCCCACCAATGAAAGGCCCACAGTTTAAGGGCCCACAGTACAAAGGTCCCATGTCTAAGGGCCCACAGTACAAAGGTCGCATGTCTAAGGGCCCACAGTACAAAGGTCCCATGTCTAAGGGCCCACAGTACAAAGGTCCCATGTCTAAGGGTCCTATGTTCAAGGGTCCCATGTTCAAGGGCCCACCTATTAACATGAAGGCTAACCCATGGAGTCAGAAAGGGCCTCCCACCGGCAGCTTTAACTATCAAATGCGGCAGTTTGGGCCTCCGAGGACCTACCCAGAAGAGTCGATGCCAGAACACCAGGGGCCAAATCAACCAGAACACCAGGAACTTCATCACACAGAACACCAGGGGCCAAATCAACCAGAACACCAGGAACTTCATCACACAGAACACCAGGGGCCAAATCAACCAGAACACCAGGAACCACATCACACAGAACACGAGGAGCCACATCACACAGGACACGAGGAGCCACATCACACAGAACACGAGGAGCCACATCACACAGAACACGAGGAGCCACATCACACAGGACATGAGGAGCCACATCACACAGGACACGAGGAGCCACATCACACAGAACACGAGGGACCACATCACACAGAACACGAGGAGCCACATCACACAGAACATGAGGAGCCACATCACTCAGGACACGAGGAACCACATCACTCAGGACACGAGGAGCCACATCACACAGGACACGAGGAACCACATCACTCAGGACACGAGGAGCCACATCACACAGGACATGAGGAGCCACATCACACAGAACACGAGGAGCCACATCACACAGGACACGAGGAACCACATCACACAGGACACGAGGAACCACATCACACAGGACATGAGGAGCCACATCACACAGTACATGAGGAGCCACATCACACAGTACATGAGGAACCACATCACACAGAACACGAGGGCCCTCATCACACAGAACACAACCAAGAACATGATCAGGGACATGGGCTCGGCGGACAACCTGAGGATCACATCCCAGAAGAAATCCCTGCTCGTCCCTCTGGGGGTGAACAGCCTGAAGGTGAGACCATAGGTGTGTTCTAATTCATAAAAACATACTGAAGATCATTCTTAATCCTTACAAATATATATTGATATAATGCAATTATTATTCTTCATTTATTTATTTATAATGTATGTTACTTGACACAGATCAGCAAAAGATTCCAAAGCCGATTGTACAGCTTAGCTAATGGCAGTAAAACTGTTGTATCTGTCTGATGCTAACAGCTTCTCTTTCTGTCTTTAGGCCAGGCTGTAGACAGTGAGACAGAGGATCGAATATATCGAATGGAGGAGGATGTGCAGCGTCTGAACCGAGGCCTGGAGACCCTGAGAGGAACTGTGAACGGTCTGGAAGAAAGTCTCCGAGCCTCGCTGAGAGAGGACGCCAACAGGATGCTGTCGGCGCTGCTCTCCGCTTCCCCCGGTGCTGTTCCCGCTCCAGCTGCTTCCTCCGGTCAGTCCACTGTCGGGTTCGTAGAGATTTCTTTGGGAGGCCCTGAGGCAGAGGGTCTGGATGGCAGAACAGTGTTTCCAGGGCTTACAGAGCTGAACGGGAGGGTGGAGGAGCTCAGGACTGTGCTGCAGGCCAAGACATTAGAGCTGCAGGAACTCAAAGCAACAGTGACAGGACATGATGGAGCCCTGAAGAAGATGTCAGCAGGAATTATATCGGACTCCACGGTCAGTCTCGAAGGAGCTCCGCAGATAGCTATAGAGAACTTGATGGATGGCAAGCTGAGTGAAGCCAGGTCGGAAATCCTTGGTGGGTTTGAGGTACGAGTGAAGAGCGCAGAGGGCAAATGTGAGGAGAAAGCTGGGGATCTGCGTCGTCAGTGCCAGAGGGAGCAGAGCGAGAGGCAGGAGCAGATGGAGGACGCTCTGGAGGGAAGCAACACAGACCTGAGATCAGAGCTGAGAAACCTCCAGGCGCAGATCCAAGGTTTGACGGCTTCAGGGAACTGCTCCAGTAGAGTGGGTGGGCTGGTTGAACGGGTGCACAGGCTGGAAACATCAGTGGCAGGCCTCAACCAGTCCCAGGGGCACCTGAGGGTGGAGCTGGGCGGACACAAAGACCACATAGAGGGGATGCTGGAGGGGCGTCTGGGGTATGTAGAGGCCAAGCTCAATGTGACCGGGGAGTTAAAACACAACAGTTCTGAAAGAGGGAATGTATTCCCTGAGGCAGGACAGGGTGTGGAGGAGGCCAGGATGGAGGGTAGGCTGCTGGCTCTGGAGGACCGTTTACTGATGGCGTTAGAGGAGCCGGTTAACTCCACGTCCCCCGCACTGCAGGAGGGTCATGCTGTTCCCGCTCTGGAGACGGAGATGGATTCCATCAGAGAGAGACTGGAGGTGGATGTGGATAGACTGCAGAGGCAACTGAGCAGCCTTGAGACCCGCTGCACCTCTTCCTCTACTAAAACACCATCTGCCATCCAAGGAGACTCTGCCGCCAATCCATCAGAGGAGCAGAACGTGAAGGACGCACTGGACATGCAAGGGGATCGCTTAAAAGGGCTTAACGTCACCCTGCAGAACGTCCTGAAGCGTCTGCACCAGCAGGAACAAGCGGAGGGAGTTAATCCCGTCCAGGGGGAGCTCACAATCCTCAAGTTCAATGTGCGCTCGGTCAACCACACCCTCAAAGTCCTCCAGGAAACTCTGGGGACAGTCGTCCATCAGGTGGGACAGGCCAACAGCTCCTGGCAGATGAGCGAGGCGAGTCTGGCCAAG